AACGATAAAAAAATCAATTATCAAAATCTGTATCAAATAAGCTCTATAAAAGTTGGTGACAATACTGTAATTGTCATTGAATAAAAACTAATTTTATTAAATTTGAACGAAGGGTGCATTTGATTGCAAGTATGAAATTTGATTGTAGACAATTTAATTGTCTAGAACTTATTTGCATGAAAATTAGTAATTAAGTATATTTGATTGATTTAGTTTCCAACCTATAAAATATTACACTTGTCCATTTTTAATTGGAGGGTAAATGAGAGAGAGTTGATAGATAAGAGAGAGAAAGAGATAGTGAATTATTTGGAAAATAAAAATCGCATCTCTATAAATAATATATTTTTCTTATTTTTGAGGAAAATATGGTCACGTGATTAAAAGTTGAAAAATATTTTCTATGAAAAAATTTGTCAATCAAACACTTCAAAAATAGAATTTTTTTGGTGGAAAAATGACATTTTCATGAGAAATAAAGCCAATCAAACGCACTTGAAATTTCTTAATTGGAATGATAATCACTAATAAATGACATGTAAAAGATAAAATTATTAAGCTCCTGTTTGATTCTCATTTTTTCAAGAATGCGTGTTTTTAAAATTTATTTTCAACCACAAATTCTTTTATAAAATAATTATACACGTATTTCAAAAAATTTTCCTTACTTTCGAACCACATATTATCCAAAAAATCATTATTTCGTAATGTATTTTATCCCGAAAATGGAAATCAAACAAGGGCTAAGAATTATAAGTTTCGAGATGAACGTGAGAAAGGTATAGAACGCTACTACAGTAATACATGAAAATGTTAAGGATAATGCTACTTAGATCAAAGGTCGAAAATAAAGGTGAAAAAAAATATAAAAGTTAGGGACGATACTGCAATTAACTTCCAGTAAAAGTAATACTATCAAATTTGAACGAAATCCTTATTTAAGATGTGTATCACTAAACGAGAAACATCGACAAGAAACAAATGTTCTGGATAAAATTGCAAATAAATATAAAATTTGGGACAACAACTAGAATTATTTGATAATAAAATTATTATTATTATATTTGAATGGGATCCCTTAATTAAGACGAAAACCACATATAATATGTAAGGGTCCGTTTGATTGGTTTCAATTCCATGGAAAATGTCGCATCCGAAAAATTCGATTTCTATTTTGACTGTTTGATATGAAAGTGGAAATGAAATTCAAATTCTGAGGTACAAATACTTAAAATATGTTTTTCGCCGATTAAGTGAAAAATACATTCCTATAGTTTTGGTGGATTTTTCTTTTCCAAAACACCGACAAGAAACAAATGTTGTGGATAAAGCTGCAAATAAATATAAAATTTGGGACAAGAACTAGAATTATTGGATAATAAAGTTAATATTATTATATATGAATGGGATCCCTTAATTAAGAAGAAAACCACACATAATCTGTAAGGGTCCGTTTGATTGGTTTCAATTCCATGGAAAATGATGCATCCGAGAAATTCGTTTTCTATTTTGACGGTTTAATATGAAAGTGGAAATGAAATTTAAATTCTAACGTACAAATAATTAAAACATGTTTTTGGCCAATTGAGTGAAAAATGCATTTCTATAATTTTGGTGGAATTTTCTTTTTCAACTTACATGAAATTGATTTGTCTTTTTCACCTTTATAATCAAACAAGGCCTAAGTGAATTATAAAGTATCACGCCAATAAGAAACAACGGTTCAAGATAAGGGTGCAAAAAAGTATAAAAGTTGGGGACTGTACTGTCATTGTCCTCAAATAAAGTCAATATTATTCTTATTCGAGTCTCATTCTTTGAAGACTCATTTTTAGGGATGGTAGTGGGTCAAATTCGAGCACAACCCTGTCCCACCCCAGGCGAGGTGTGCCCCCTTTGCTATCCACCTTTTTTTTCAAAATTTTGAGTTATGCTATTATTAGAGAATAAAATACAAATTCAAAATTTTAAAATCCAAAGAAAATAATTCTCATGGAGGCATCGAGAGCCCGAAAAACGAGCTGATGGGATTGGAGAATCATCAGATGGTATTGGAGGATGAAGTGTGGTGCCCACGCAGACCCTTTCACAGCCATATCAATTAGACACCATTATCCTCCAGAGTTTCATTAAACGTTCCAATCTTTAGCCTGTGACAAGGACAAATTGGACATTTCATGAATATTTCTGCCCGATAAGCCATCATCGCCGTTGAAAGTTTTGCTCTGAAATTTGCTAAAATTTCGAAAATTTGAATCATTTTTCAAAGGTCCGGTTGTTGCTCCGGTTGTTGCTCATTCTTATTTTGCCTTTGATTTTTGAAACTGGTACTGCTCATCTTCTTCAAACATATTTTGGCAATTTTGCTGTGATTATTTGATGTATTTTGGATAACATGCATTTATCTGTACCTGGTTAACATTTGGTAGAATATATTTTTTTAATTTTTTTCTTCTTCATGGGGGATGGGGTACCGCCCCGCCAACCCGATGTAGCACAGCGGGACGGGGAGCGACGGGGCGGATTTTCTACCATCAATATTCATTTTTTCCTAAACTCACTTTTTACCACACATTTTCTAAGTAAAATATTTTTACACGTAAATCCAAAATTTTCCTCTACTTTTTAATCATATATTCTCCACAAAATCAATATTGCAGATTCTATCATACTGAATAATGGAGCTCAAACATAGTATAAATTCGAATGAAATCTCTCTACCAATGTATCAATCAATGTTAAGGATAATGTTACTAAGGGTCTGCTTGGAGTTTTGACACTTATTATGAGCGTTTTTTAAATTATTGATTTTGAGTGTTTTAGAGCAGATCGGTTAAGAGTGATTTTTGAAATAATCCAACTTATGTTTGAGACTTTACTATCCATCAGTTCTTAAAGTTTTTGAAAGAATAAAATTATGGGCTTGTCCGGTGTTGATAATGAAAATTGATTTTTTGACAGTTAGAGAAAAAAATGGATCCTACCCGTGAGTGAAGAAATAAAAAATGACTGCTGAAATAGTGAAATAACAGTTAAAAAATCAATTTTTTTAGGATGAAAAATTGCTACCGAATAAGGGCATATATGTCCCATAGTAAAATTTTCATATTATAGTTTCTTATATGAATTTTTTTACTCATAAGTATTATTCACTTATAGGTAAATTTTTTACATATAAAGTTAAAATTTTACTTACAATTTTTAGTTAATATTTTTTTACTTATAAGTAAATTTTACAATTTTAACTTAATTTTAAACTTTTAAATAATTTTAAGCTAATTTTTTACTTATAAATAACATTTTATATTTTATAAGCGAAAGTTTGTATTATTAGTACCATAAAATTATAATGTAATTTTTTTCGTATAAATAATTTTTTAGTGTATATATTTGTATTTACAAATTAGTTTTGAAGAAATATGTTTGTTGAAAATAATTATCTTATAGAGCAATAAAATTAGAAGAAACTATGAGAAATGATCAAAACCCGATTTGGTGGATTGAAAGAACCAGTCAAAATTACAATACACCGATTTTGAGTAAATTCTAAACCATCGATAATCGGTGTTAAAAAAGCTAGCAATTACCGATTTTTTCAACTTCCCATAAACGATGTCACTTAAAAATTTGGGGGGGAGGGGGGTGGGCACTCCCAACTAGGCCCCAAGAAACAAAAGTTCAAGATAAATATGCAAACCGTATAAAAGTTAAGGACGTTCAACAATAAAACCAATAATATTAAATTGAACAAATAAGACGATAATCTAATAAATGAAAGGTTAAAGAGTAATGATATTAAGGAACAAAACTTCAGGATAAATGAAATATACAAAATGTATAAAAGTTAAGGACATATGTATTTACTAAAGTTAATAGGAACTTGCCCGCTGCACAGGCCCCTCACATACTGGATTGGGGTAGGTGATTATTTGAAAAAAAAAAAAATTTACCTCACGTCCCTGTATTTGTGTGTGGCTTGTACAAGCCCTGTTTCTTGTACAGGTAGCACTGCCCAAGTTAATATTATGAAGTTGAACTGAATCTTTTAAATAAGAAGATAAGCAATAATAAATGAAAAGCTAACGTCATAACTCAAGTTCAGACTCAACCTATAATCAATGTTGAACAAAATTCCAACCCAAAATTGAATTGACGAGATGAATAAATCGACGCGTGTTGATTTGTATTGGTTCAATTTGTCCTGTTGAAGGAGATTCTCTCTTGAAAATCAAATTGTTATTATTATTATTATTATTTTTTTTTGTGACCGACTCCTCAGATTGTGGTTTCCAAGTTTGTCCAAACCAACTCGAAAATCAAAACCAAACATCTCTTCAAAGTTCACATTGATTCGAATCGGTTAGATTTAGCCCACCCCTAATTAATAATAAATTAGTAAGAATACAATATGCTCGTTTGAGCCCTTTTTGGTGAAAAAAAAAATGAATTTTTGAATAGTGTATTGATGAAAAATGCTTGATTAAAATATAATTTGTGTTGAAATAATGTTAAAATACTATTTTAAAAAAATATTTCTTTTCAAAAGAATGTAACTCAAACAAAGGCATAATATTTGTCATTTATGTTAAAAGCAGGTTAATAGAATGCTTGAATAGAAATCATTTATATGCTATTTAAGAATAAAATGCAATAAGAAATGTTGAAATTAAGCCCCTTTGGCCCCATTATTTCACATTATAATTTTTTTCTTTTATTTTCAACTACATAATATTTCATAAAATAACATTACATGTAAATAAAAACTTTACATTCTTTTTTCTTCAATCTTATCATTCCAAAAAAATATATTTCAAAAATTATAATATCAAATAATGAGGATCAAATTAGAGCTATAATATGATTGAAAAAAGAGATTAGAGTCTGTTTAAAAATGATTAAAATCTGATTTTAATTTAAATTAAAGTCAAATAATTAATATTAATTATATCTTTTATTGATCCCTACTTAGCATACTTTTTCATTCTAATGCACCACTTGTGTTTTCCCATTTCAATTTCTACCAACACCAAACCTTCAACCACAAAGCTGCAAACAGGCGTCAGGTTTCTCAAATTTGTTTCCTTACAAATATCCCGAAAATAGTTGAAGAAAATGGATTCGATTGTACCCTGTCTAGACCTGAATCTGTATGCTGAACCAAATTCTTCTTCATCCATCAACACCTCAAAAACCACCCCCAAAATCGAACCCCTTGATGAAACCCCACCATTTCTACCCCGTACAACTAACCTCACCACCCACCAATTCCGCTTCGCCCCTCCGCCACCTGGACCCGACGTCTCGACGGAATTCAACCGCATTTCGGAGCTTTTTCACTCCACCTTCGCCCAACGGCTCCAGAAGTACGGCGACGTAGCCGTGCTTCCTGATGCAGACCCAAATTCGGGCGCTATAGTTCCTTGCAACAATCCTGAAACCCAGATTGGTAATGTTGTTATTTCGCCACGTGGTGCCCGCAAACAAGACCAGCGCTCGTCGGAGCTCGTCCGGGTTACGGATCTTAGACCCGAGGTCCATCGTTGTTTCCGGGGCGAAATTCGTCGGACCCGATTGTTGTTCGACTCCCTGCGCACCTTCTTGATAGCTGATATTGAGAAAGGCCGTTCTTTGACCCCTCAGAGATGGCGAAGAGTGGATTTGAAGGTAGCGCAGCTTATGAAGAACCAAGGCCTCTGGTTATATCGAGACAAGAGGATTGTAGGTGCTATCCCCGGAGTTTCAATTGGTGATGTTTTCTTTTTCAGGATGGAACTGTGTGTTGTCGGATTGCACGGCCAGGCACAAGCCGGGATTGATTATGTCCCCGCGAGTCAGAGCTCGAATGGGGAACCCGTTGCCACAAGCATCATTGTATCAGGGGGTTATGAAGATGATGAGGATGCTGGGGACGTGATAATTTACACTGGTCATGGCGGGCAGGACAAACATAGCAGGCAGGTTGTGCACCAGAAGTTGGAATGTGGTAACTTGGCCTTGGAGAGGAGCATGCATTATGGCATTGAGGTGAGGGTTGTTCGCGGTATTAAATATGAAGGCCGCACTCCTGGTAAAGTTTATGTTTATGATGGTTTATATCGTGTCACTGATACTTGGTTTGATGTGGGGAAGTCGGGGTTTGGGGTTTATAAGTTTAAGCTTGTTAGGTTTGAAAATCAGGGACAAATGGGAAGTGTTGTGTTGAAGTTCGTGGAGAGTCTTAGGACTCTGCAGTTGGATGCGTGGCCAAAAGGTTATGTTTCACTTGATTTGTCGAGTAAAAAGGAAAACGTGCCCGTGTTTTTCTTTAATGATATCGATGAGGATCATGAGCCACTTTACTACCAGTATCTTCCCACAACACGTTTCCCTTTACACGTCTATGATCATGTTGCAAAGGGGATTGGCTGTGATTGCGTTGGTGGGTGTTTGGATGTTTGCTCTTGTGCAAATAAAAATGGGGGAGAGTTTGCGTATGATCTGAATGGGATTTTGGTGCGTGGGAAACCATTAATTTTTGAGTGTGGTCCCCATTGTCAATGCCCTCCTAATTGTAGGAATCGTGTGAGCCAAAAGGGACTAAGGAATCGACTTGAAGTTTTTAGGTCCCGGGAGACTGGTTGGGGAGTGAGGTCGTTGGACTTGATCCAGGCAGGCTCTTTTATTTGCGAATTCACAGGAATTGTTCTAACGCAAGAGCAAGCCCAGATTTTCACGATGAATGGTGATAGTTTGGTGCACCCAAGTCGATTTCCCGAAAGATGGGCTGAATGGGGTGATTTATCACAGATATTCTCAGACTATGTTCGCCCTGCATATCCATCAACCCCTCCTTTGGATTTTGCCATGGATGTATCAAGAATGAGGAATGTGGCCTGTTACATGAGCCACAGCTCCAGCCCCAATGTTATAGTGCAGCTTGTGCTGTTTGATCACAACAATATATCTTTCCCTCACCTCATGCTGTTCGCTATAGAGAATATCCCTCCGATGAGGGAGCTTAGTCTTGATTATGGGATGACTGATGAATGGACAGGGAAGGTTTCTATCTGCAACTAGCTATTTTTTATGCGTTGGTACGGTTTCAATTATTGTGCCTGGCAGCTTTCTGATACATTATATGCTAAGGTAAATTCCATGTTTTAATAACTAGTGCCTTTTGGTGTAAAATTATAGTTTAGCACATCATTTATTCATTTTAATGTAAATTTGATTTGGTTGATGTGCGTCCTCTGACATGTTTAACTCGTATTGTATCAAAATTTTTGGTTATTTACTTGGAAGGCATTATTGATGTTTTTCAGTGCGCTTTTCTGTTACATGTTTCTATGAAGTCCTCAGCAATTATTTGCTGCCAAGTGACTCGATAATGTAGAACAGGAAAGAGCAAGAAGAGAGAGGAAAACAGAGAAGATGAGAGAAAATAAGAAGAATTAAAAGTTTGAAAGAGATGATTTATGGAGGATAATTTACTGAATACTAAATCATTTTTTTACATCATTCAGACCTACTACTACTATTTGCTCTAAATTCCTAACAAGAATCAGAACCCACTTTCTATTTTACGCCTAAAAGAGCGAGTATTTTTGCTCATCTTAAATGAAATATCATCTCAATCACTTGGTCTCTCTACTGTAATCTGAACATTTGTTAGCCAACCAAGGTTTTATGAATGCCCTTATGGTTAATTGGGCTCGCATTTCTCTTTCAGTATATCTGTTATTTCCAGCGGAACCTGCTAGACACCTCTATTTTCTTATTTTTCTTTTCAATCTCACGTGAATTAAGCTTATCAAGGTTTATCAAAAGTTCCTGATTGCTTTTCCTATTATCCATATCATGGTTTCTTTAGCCCCTGTTTGATCCCCACTATTTAGAACTCATTTTTTCCCAAATTCATTTTTGATCACACATTATCTTAATAAAATAGTTTTGTATGTAAACCCAAAATGTTTCTATACTGTTTGACCACACATTCCCCCCCAAAAAAATCACCTTTTACAAAATCTGTTCTCAAAAAATAGGTTCAAACAGAGCCTTAGATTCATTAATAACTTTTATGGATTCAAGAAGATGTATTTCACTAGGAAAATCATTTTTCCCATTAGGGCTTTGCTAGAGTGACAAGGGCCACATGTGGCGCCCCTTGTTCGTCCGGGGCCATGCGAATAGCAAAACCCTTCCCATTATAACGTCTTCAATGAGTGATAATATGTTGCAATCAATGTCAATTATTAAATCTGTTTCACTATTCTTCCACTCAATTCATTGCCTTTAATTACTATAACAATGATTGACTATGTTCAAGATTGGAGAAGAAACTACGTACACCGTGCTCAATAACACTTTGGTTTGTGCCTTGTCCTTTTAGAAAGTTGGTGCTCCTTTTTTGATAAAACAACTTTCAGGTGATACGATAAAAGAGCTTTTGAGTGAGATATAGACTGATCTGATGTCAATAGCGCTAAAGAACCTGTACAGGACTATATCTGCCTTGACCACTCAGCCATGATACCGAATCCTAGAAGCGGAATATAATCTGTCAGTATGCCAAAAGACACAAATATTCAGTCTAGAAGGTGGATTCTTTAGATAATGAGTTAATTAATTAAGAAACATAATACATAGTTTGGCACATTAAGCAAGAAACAAAATGTTAGGTTTCATACATGTAGAGTAGATACCCAATACTTTGTGAAACAATGTGTAACCTATATTTGCAACCATGGTTTACCAGAATAGAATGCGTACCAACTTTTGTGATTCTATCTCCTTTTTGAACATTCTTCTTACCTAGAAATGCATTAAAGCAGATACATTATGGTGAACATGTAAAATAATATTTTTATTTCATTTATTTATGTTTTAGAAATTGATAGTATTTCTTTCTCTTTCACTATTGAAGTAATTTCTCAGAGTAAGGGTCCACTTGAAACTTATATAAACAAGAGAAAAAATTGAAATGATTAGGCATTCACATTATGTCATATGTTATTATATTTTCGTTTTACTTCTTGAAAGAATTTTGTAATGTCGTTTTACATTTTATAATACATTCCCCATCACTTGTAAGAGTATTGTCCCATTCTGAAGTTTCTCGAGTATTGTCCCATTCTGGAGTTTCTCAAAATTTGTGGTGTATGACGTAATTAGGTGCCGATGTAATATTTATATATCACATTTAAATAGCTGCCCTTCCGATTTTGTGAATTATATAGCAAGAGCTACTTACTAGTTGCCATGGATGAAAATTGAATATAGTACTACTGGCTTGAATTCTACATTTTCTTTATGAATAAAATTATATTGAGATTTAGATTAGACTGAAGTTAATTGTGTATGTTATTATATTACCTTAAATGGTTTAGCAAATTAGCATCCTCTCGATGAAGTTTCACAAATTGATATAGTTTGGATCTCTGGAGAAACCAAGTGATTAGATACCAATTACCAAATGATGGGCTTGGATATTTAATTACGCTCCAGACCTACTTCATATTCAACTTTCTCAGTGCTTTTCTGTTGCATCTCTGGGAAGTAATTTATTCTTGTGAAACAATTTCTCACTTCTTCCTTTGTACAATTTCTTCAATATTATATGTTTGGAGCAAAAGCTTTTGATCAGGATCTGTTCCCTTCTGTTTTCAAGTCATTTTTAGGTCATGATATTGGAAAGCTGTAGGTATAATCATTTCCAACTTGGGTGAATTGGCTGATCAAAATGAGAGAAATGACATCAAGTAATAAACTGCATATTCTTGATTAGTATTGGGTACTCTACACATGTGGAATGTCAGAACGATGACAAATTGTTATGTAATATATGCACTTAGAAAATGAAGGGGAGAAGTAACATGCTATCATTTGCCGTCCATAAGTGAGAATTGGTAGACTTGAATTTTCGGAAATTGCAATATCTATAATCATATGCATGATGCAACACCTGGGAACACAAAAGGGTAAATGTTTAAGCTGATAGAGATATACCTCACTTTGAGATGGCAGTGTTTGAGGGTTTTTCCGTAAAACTGGACTTATTGAATGTTACTGGTGCTTACATGGTAAGTTCCAATGAATTGTGTTGCTTCAACCAATTGTGTAGTCGTGCAACAGATATGAGATGATGTCATCTGTTGAACTGATTATTTTTCTGAATTTTTGCAGGAATAATGTACGGTGCAACAATTTTTGCTGATTCTACTTAATCTAGTTGTTGCCTTGTACAGATGGAAATTTGGCATTCGCCTTTTTGGTAGCCGATTTTGGGCTCAGCCTCCAAACTTTGTGCTCCTCACCATGTTTTGTTATATAGGATGCTGCTTCCATTTTGAATTGTCCATTAAAAATTCTAACGCCATTTGTCACTTTTACTTCACCATCCTCGTTGTTGACACTTGAATTAGACTGAAGACGACTGCCAAGGAAAGTCGTGAAAAGGTGATATCGATGGATGAAACCTGTTGCGATAATGCACCCTGTTGTTAGAAAATTACTGTGTTAAAAAGTTCTGTACTGTTAGCCTGTATACAAGGGAATCAGAATTGCACCAAAATGTACAGAAATCTATGATTTTTCTGATCCTGCTATTCTCCTCTCTGTGTATGGATAATTTCTGATAAATGAATCAGGCTGAAAGAGTACTATTTTTGTTTTTGGTTTCATATTCAGAGCTTGTTTGGAAAATGTGCGGTAACGTTTATTTCCAAAAAATCATTCGCAAACAAGCTCTTAAAATATACTAAATAAAGCAGTGTTTAGCTTTTGTTTTACCCTTAGGTTCGTATTGTTAAGTTTGTTCATGCTATTGATGAACTTCAAATCCTGCGAGGAGTAATGTTTTTTACTTTTGGATGCTTCGAACGAGCTTATAAGTAGCCTTTTTTTTATTTTTTAAATTTGGATGCTCGGCGGGAGCTTATAAGGTTGCTTTTAAAAAGGGACCATTTGGGAAAAAAATTCTGAATGTTTTAGGTGAGTTTATGAGTAACTTATGAAGTGGCTTTTGAAAAGCATTATCTGACTTGTATACTCTTTTGTTTTACGAGATTTGATAATTACCATAAAGTCGGTCACAATTGCTAGTCACAAGATTTATCAAATTACTTATTTAGATATATTGAATACATCATTAATGCTAGTTACTGGATGGTGTTTACTCAGCTGCTTGTCTAAAGATGGAAATGTCACACTCACCTTTTGACAATCGATATTTAATTTTTTTTTTTGCATATTTATTTATAATTACGCATTCATACAATAAAATATTACGTAAGTAAATTTAAAATTTTTTATTATTTTTTAACCGCCTTCCTTGTTAGGGGACTGCCACTTTTTTATTTATTTTATTTTTATTTTTGTTAGAAAAAAGTGTATTTCCTCCAAATGTTCACTTCAAACGCACCGTAAGTTTTATTTTAAAAAGTCCAAGACCCTAGCCCCTGTTTTATTCTCATTAAATTCGATTATATTATATTATATTATATTTTTCTTTATCCCATTTTCAACAACACAATCTTTTATAAAATAATATTATACGTAAATCGAAAACTTTTTTTTTTTTAACCATTCATTTTTTAAAAAAATACTATTCTCCCATTTTCATTTTCATTTTCAGTAACCGGGTCAAACGGTGGCTAGTTTTTTAGACTATCTAGAATTACTATCGTTCATAAGCTAAAAAAAAAAAAAAAAAAAAACTTTGAATTTGGCTGCAACAATGTTTAACTTAGCTAGATTTAGCTTGAAAAAGAATCTTCGAAGATTTTCAACGGGGGTTAATCGACGTATCGAAGATGAAGGTGACTGGTTTTACTCCTCGGAGTGGTGGCGCAGTGGCTCTTCAAATGGCAACAATGTTTTCCGTGGAATTTCTGATAAGGGAAATGGCGTCGTTACTGTCTTAGCTCACCCTTCTTCGAAACCGGTACGTATAGAATCCATAACATGACATGGGGCTGGCATATTATTGAACTTATTTCAATCTTGAACTTTCAATTATATGTGTAATTTTTTTAAATTGATTTTTAGTATTGTGTAAGTTGAAAGTGGTGTTATTAGATGTTACGAGGAGAGTATTTATTGTTCATAATAAAAAGAAAAGCACGATTGAAGGAAAATGGTGGAGTCCAAATATGAGATAATTTTGTGTTAGGCTGTATGGATTAAGCCTAGGATTTGGAGGTAGGAACTTCTTCAATTCAGAATTAAATTGATTTTTTATTTTATTTTTAATTCCAAATTCTCATTTCATGCTGCCAAAGTTATTGCAATATTTCTATTTAGTTGGGAGCAGTAAGAAGAACTTGAAAAGGAATCATGCGATGTTCACAGTTTAAATCTTATAGCTTAGCCATTTTGTGATTGAATTTTTAGGCCTTTGTTTGCCCCCCATTTTTTCAAAACTCGTTTTCTACCCCACATTCTGTAGGAACACATTCTTTATCAACTTTTCAACCATGCATTTCATCAACTTTAATCAAAATCTACTAAAAGTTTAATTTTTATCCAAACCAAACAGGTGCTTAATATTAGATATTAAGGAATGAAATGTGTTAGGTTCTGATTTCTGTAGGTCGGGGAGTGTGAGCCTCAAGCACCGGACTACTCTTTAAGAGTTCAACTTCACTCTATAACTCAAGTATTTTTAGGATTTTGTCTCGCGAATGTGCGTGTAGTGGTAGTTGGGGGGTGGGGTGGGAGTGTTGCACTAGTTAGACAATCAGATAAAGGTACCTAACCTGGATCTATGGACTGGACGCAGGAAAGCAAGAAATTATCTTTTCAAAAGTAAGAGAGAAGAAGTAGAGAAACCATTATTGACCAAGAAAGTTGAAATTTCACGTAGAAGGACCCAGTCATCCAAGAGAGCAGAAAAATGAAATTGAAAAATGATATATTGAGGAACACAATTGCTTTTCTTATATTAATGATACTGAGGTGGCTACCTTTAGACTAATGTTGTTCTAAGAGAGAAACAGACAACACTACCCTATAATGAACCACATGCATGCCACATGTTTCTTTCTGTTGGAACTAGAGACCTAAATCCAAGATGGGTAGATATGAGAAAAGCAAGCCAGTTTAGCACAAAAGTGATGCAAGAGCATCTAAGAGGCCTCCAGAGGATAATATCTCTCTTTGGAAGATGCTCAACCAACTGATCTGTACTCGTTATGTATTCCCTTTAGCACTAGGAAGCACATGCTCACTCGTACGCCATAGTATTTGTATCCCACTACTAATAAAAAGACATCTTACTCATAATCAACCACATGGCTGGCACCTATGGGGTTGTAGGTGAAAAATGAAAGCTACTGTAACACAAGCTAAATGAACATTAAGATAATCCAATAGTAGAACCAAATGGTACCAGTGGGTTGACTAGCCTTAGGTAAGCCTTTTGGATGCTCCACATCACTCGCCAGTTGACAGGATGATGTCTAGTACTGTACTGTATTGGGCCAAGCCTAAACCAATACTAATCAAGTGTGATGGCATTTCATTTTCGGATAGGAAATGTTTTCTGGAAATTTTCATAACAAACCCATATATAAGCTGTAATTACACTTCACATACCATGTTTTAGGTAATTAAAATTTAATTGGTTAAGTCTTCATAAAAAGCCAGAAAAAATTGAATTGCTACCCTGCATGTGAAGTCCTATAACAGTTTACATACCATAATTTTTAAAATAAAAATCTTGAACAAATGTGTCTGAAGTTCATTTTCTTCAGTTTAAGTATGATGTGTATTTGCAATCAGGATGTCTGACATTATAAACTGGACGAAAGGAATATAACTATGCCAATGTCACGTATTAAAACTTGATGTGAGAAGACCTCTTTTATTTTATATGCTATAGAAAAAGTTTTCTAAGATGGATAATGAAATCAAATTTTAACATTTATAATACATTTCATATTCACACGAATATAATTATTATTGATTTGCACTACAAAAATGGCTGAAATAGTTTCAATATGTCTGGTGGGATAAGGAAGAGCATGTGTCTTTAACCAGCTACAAGCATATAAGAGCATGGTGCTAAATCAATCAACGTTAAACTACAGAACAAAAACTTTAATAAATACCTTTATCACATTTGATTTCATCACATTGACCGTGATACCACAACGTAAAGTTGCAAACATAAAAAACTGAGGGTTTGCCAAAAAATTTGTGTTAGTCATTCTGGTTTTAAGCCTTTCTGGCCTTTGGCCAACCTATGGCCGTTGTGCCAACCTATGGCCGTTGTTCCAATGATCTGTCCATTTTGAGGCATACTGCACTGAGCTGCTTCATTCAGCTTGGGTCCAGTTTCCACCTGTGTCCCAGATGTGGTTCAAATGGACCTACATGCTGTGCTGGCTGATTAAGGCACACTTTATTTGGTTAATCAGCTGGTCCAAACTGATCACGTTGCTGTGATCCAGTTTTCAAGCTGATTATCCTCTTGCTGCCTCTACCCAGGAGGGGACTGAGTGGCTTGTTGGTGATATGCCACTCATCCCAGGAGCATCATCTCATAAACCTTCTGCTTTGAAAAGGCCTATTTATGTGTTTCATGACTAGCAAAATCATACCATGACCATCCAAAACATTTAGAAAGAAAAACAAATTTGCTTGTTTATTTCTTTATTTATTATTTTTTTGGGCTGGGGTAGTGGGTGGGGTTCAGTTAGTGTGCTTAATTTACCTTTTTTCAATATGCCATTTTTATCTAGTTTATGTATTTCAGAGGATTGGTTCTGTGTATCTCAATAAAAGGCAATAATTTCAGTTTGAGGTTACTTTGAACACCAATTATTTTCTAAGG